AGCCCTCGTGTAGCTTTGCGCGAAATTCAAAAACAAAACAATTATATCGTGTAATTTTACACGCAATGTCATCTATTTTATATTATTGTTCGTAGTTAAGCACAAAGCTACACAATGGGCTATCTGTGCTGTGCCCACCATGGGTATCGAAACCCGGTTTCTAGTGGCATAAGTTCGTAGACATTCCGCTGTAAGATAATTTTAAATGTTGTAATATTGAATAAATGTTATTGAACTAAATAAAGTGTAAGAACTTATTGTATTTAATCATTATTCATTAAACACTCAACTTGACATTTACACTTTCACTACCAGTGGTTACACATATATTACACCACAGTTGTTATTTTTTCTTCTTCTTTTTACAACACTTAGTGCAAACAGCTAACCCAGAACAAACGTATATGAAATGATTCGTTTCCTATGTAACTCATGGTTACAAGCAATACTGATGGTATCTTTGTTTCATGTTTTTGTGTGACCCGTGACCAACAAAGTCACAAGAAAATTGGTGTATAAAAATGTATTTTAAACTCAGGCAGGGGACCATATCGGTAATTCTAGTGGTTTCACTTCGTGCGCCTATTGTGATCCTTAATGGTTTACGCCAACTATAATTACTACAGAATTGACTCGTTTATGAGAATCCCTCGATAGGTAGAACATTAAATACCATCGAATAATTCTACTAAGCAATCAAGGATTCATCCAAAAAGTTTGATATTAGAACAGAGGTTCCCAACATTTTTTGGATTGAGCCCAATATTTAATTATATTACCTGCCTAAAACTTTCATTATAAACTTTGTAGTGGTGTACAAGGGAAGTGTAAGTGGTTTGCCTAGTAGGAAAAATTTAGAATTCACAATAATACATATTTTAAAGTAAAAGTATTTAGCACTAAGTGCAGAACATACCCTTGTTTCATTGTACATAACTTATTTCACCGAGGGGGTGATGCATTATCACCTTTACAGTGGGTGTTATTGTACCTTCCACATTAGGCTATCTGCGCTCTGGCCACCACGGGGAATCGAACTCAGAATATTAGCGTTGTAAGTCCATTAACTTACCGCTGACTTACTGGGAGATATTATATTATGTTATAATCAGGGACGTAGTCAGAATTGCAGAGCAGGGGGGATCTTTTTTTTCTAAGAAATATGTGTTTTTTTTTGTTCTACACAAAGAATTTAAGTGATGTACCTTAGTCTGAATGAAACGTGTAAAAAAAGAAAGGATTCAAAACTTAACAGTTTATATATTTAAAAGAAATCAGAAGATACTAGGCCTTTTAAACATTTTAAAAATAATGTGGTGGTCGTTCGATCCTCTCCCCCTCAGCTAAGTCCCTAAATGTTTATATATATAAATATATATAACCAAAATATCTATAAGATTCACCTGTGGATACGAATAAGAAAACACTGGAATATCAAACTGTTCTATTTTTTCTCACCTTTATCACTTTCTTCAATCGGTTTCGTGACTTCAAAGGTCACTCTTCAGGTAGAATAAAGTAATAAAGAAGCCTGATATTTCTGTTGTTTTTTTCTTATATATGTGTGTGTGTGTGTGTATACGCATATTAAATTATGTTATATTTGTTTACTTTGTTGATAGACCTTTGAAGTTTCGCTTAGATATTTAACTTTTGAAGTTTTTTCACGGCCAGGTATGAAAATTAGCAGGGGTCGGTTTTGAGCCAAAGGACCGGTAATTTAGAACCACTGAGCTATAGAATACGATATAGCAAAAACAAAATGAAAAAAATAACTGTTGATCTCTAACTTCAAGGGCAACAGACAAAATCCATCATGTCTCACGACGTTATATAAATTATAAAAGTATAGAAATTTGATACTCAATTTTATAGACAATCTCTGTAATAAATAACCAATCATTTCGT